TCTCTTGCCCTAAATGTGGATACCCTGTTTTGCTATTGTGAACTGCTACTTTATTAGTGATAGGGTAAATACAAATGCTGTGTAATACTTTAGGTGAAAAATGCACACATAGGTGTCTGGATTTGAGAGGAGGAGAGGGATATACAGGAGTTCTAGCACGCCATTTCTTCCCCAAGCCCTATTAGTATTGTTTGGTCCAAGGCATGTGCGCTGGGTGTTTTGCGATTAATGCAATTGTACAAACCCCCTGTTTCTGCCCCATCTTTATCCATTTGGTTATTTGCTTTTGTTAGTTTTTCATGGTGAAACTCATTATCAGTGATGGTATTAAAAGTTTGTGTCGATTCTCTGGCATCATATTGCTTGAGTCGTTTGCCAGTCTTCACGCTATTCTTATTTGGTTAACTAGCAAGCCAAAGTTGAGCTATTTAAACTTTACTGTACAATAGTTAAATGGTAATGAACTAGTTAAATATTTATGAGGATTTTCAGTATGGTCATAGACTCAACAAGGCAGAACATAACTTTTAGGGCATGGAGTCCATCTCCATGACGTTAGCTGGGCTGTATTGTGCTACAGCAATTGATGTTCAGGCCTCTTGACCAATTTCTTGTGTTTTCACATTAGAATTTCAAGCTCTATCAGTTCAGTCACCAGCTATAGTGACTAGAGCTCTAGAAACACTGTGTAACTGGAGCCAAGAGAGTGTCAGCTGCAGATTTGAGAAGGGGAAAGAATTTTTAGTCTGAATACTTTTTAAACTCTTTGGGGTTGGTTTGTTTATATTAACACCTGTTTAACTTTGGGGACTAACTTCTGGATAAAGGACGCCTGTGTTAAATGTTCAATATCCTCAGAGTTTCAGCAATGAGTGGATGCCGTGACCAGTGGGGAATGGGTATGCAATGGTATAGGCATTCCCTATCGCATAACTAGGAACCTAGCCTCACACTGTTTGTGTGGCTGTAGGGTAGACATATATATATATGCACATCTACAAATGGGAACAGAAAAATCCTGTCTGTATTGAGCTGCAGTACTAGAGGTCTGTGTAAACAATCCCAAAACTTCTCGGATAATCATCAGCATGGTTAGTGAAAAAAACATTTTGCCAATTGCTGTTACTCTGAAGACAGGAAAAAGCCTTCATGTTATGTAGCAAAGATAAACACAACTCTGATATTTTTTTTCATCCTGTACAAGAAACTCTTAATTTTATTAGCAATAAAGAAAACAAGGAAGATTGTGGTTTGTGTCAAGTAGCTTCTTACATAAAGTCAAAACTTGTGTAGACCATTACTTAATAGAAAGGACTTATACTACCTAGGATTTGTTATTAAGTTTAACCTGAAGACCTGCTTGAGGTTGTTGGAAAAACTCAAATGTTGAGTACATACTTGAGAAGAATTTAAGAAGGTGATATATTTTTAAAGTACTGAATGAATGAAATATTTCCAGTTGAGGTGATAGTCAAATAGTGCACTTAATGTTTAAACAGAATTTGGCTAGACATCTAACTTCTATTAAGTTAAAAACAGTTCCATTCACCTCTGTTTTGTTTTGGAGGGAGGCATGTAATATATATTCTTTGGCTTTTTGGAAAAGGGGTGGGTTTTTGCACAACTTTTGTTGTGCAAAAATTCTCCTAGAGTTTTTTAGAAAGTAAAAAATCCTGTTAGAGATGTTCCATATAGATGTTAGAGGGCTAGTCAAATGCTAGAATTCAACCTTTTCCAGGCTTTTGTTACAATTTTTTAAAACCTGTATAAACATCAATATAAATGTTAAATCAATAGCTGTGATGTTTAGCCCACTTTTTGCCAAATTAACATTGCTTTTAAAAGTGTAATTGGCAATTTCTGTATAGATTGTAACAGTATTGTTACGGGGTTCTAATTATGTGGGTTTCTATCATGTGGGCCTCAATCAAGTAGAGCTCTAGTCATATTAAAGTTGCACTACTTGTTAACATAAAGCTAAATCTATGCAGTAATAAGGAAATAAGTAAGATTCTGGTGTCCCTAATAATTTCAGTGTTGGCTGGATGACTGGGGTAAACAGGAATTACTGAACCATTTTGCATGACAGACTGCTCCAAGTGGCAACAATGAAAATTTCACTTACGTGCAAGGAAAACCTTTTTCATGTGCAGGTTGTGAAACATGGTAACGGGTTGCTCAGAGAGACAATAGACTCTGCCTCCTTGAAGAACATGACTAGATGAGGCTCTCAGCAATCTGACCACCAAGTTAGGTTTGTTTTGACTAGAATATTGGACCAGATGACGTCCCAAGGTCCCTTTGACCCAGAATTATTACAAAATTCCTAAGTAGGCTAACCTATAGAAACAAATAGGAGAGACTCTGTTTGGAGAGGTCTGGATCAGGCCTTCTTAGAAACAGTCCAGGACCTGCCATACTGGACTATTACATTTGCTTAGAATAATGCAGTCTGTGCCTTAGTTTGATGCAAGTGCACCTGATAGTAGCATCAGTTTTTCACTTCCAATTCATGCCATTCTCTCATTTGTGCTCCTTGGTGTTTAGATGGCTCAAGAAACTCACTCTTGTCTTCACAACAGCCCAGGATGCTGGCTTCCCTTTCTTGAGAAATCATCATACTTGAAACCTAGCTTCCTAATTGTCTTTCCACCTGCTAAAAGGATTACAGTACTTTAAGGTCTTACTATAAGATATTCTACTACAAACAGTCTTCCTCAAAGACAGTCATATGGGAGGTCTTACCCAAAATACTTGCTTAAAGTTGTCCCTGAATTCTGTTACATCTGATTCTGTCTCTTAACCCCTAAACAATGTTACTTGTTTATTTGATGAGACTTTGTATATTGCCTTACAGAGAGTGCAGCTGTGGTTTTGTTTGGATGAAATAAATCATTGAGCTTTTCACTGTGATGTGACTGTAGAATTTGCTGAAAACATTAAGTGACAGTTGTTTCTTCCAGGAAACCATAAGCTTTGTTTTGGGATTTTGCAAAGACTTCTATTCTAACAGCAGGCTCCATCTGGATAGGTTAGTCCAACTGGTTAGTCCAGTTTTGCCTGGGATACTTCATGATCGGTCTGGTGGTATTCCTTTATATTTTATATATTTAAAAGTGTGTAGTACAATGTGGGGTTCAGTCCACGCATTCTTTTACTTTTCCATGGTGCAGGTCAGATGTAAACTGTGCTGAACAGAATTTCTGATTATTTTTATAGCCATTTTTTACTCACCTGCCTTGTGGCACTGGCATGACTGTTTGCTGATAGATTAAATTTGTGCAGACAGTCACTTGAAGTAAGAACACTTACTCAGCTGTAGTAACTGTGGCTCTTTGATATGTTGTCCTCGCAGCTACAGAGGAAGTATAAGTCACAGTGGTATAAGCAACTGTACTTTTCTTTTATGGACAAGCTACTTGCTGATGTAACCTTTTAAGCAGTTGAATGCCGAAGGGTGAATGATCTGAGAATGATCTTCCACTCTACAAGTCCCTTTTACTGTAATGTTAGTGTGAACCAGGTTAGGACCTTCCTTTAGGAAAAGTTCAGGATAAGCCAAGGCCAAATTATCCAGTATCCCTTAGAGATCATGTTAACACGAGGATGTTGAGCTAATGTTTGTAAAAGAGGCATCTAAGTTGAATTGGCTGGCAGATAAAGGCATGTATTTTCTCTTGGATTTTGCACAGAGAGAACCTCAGTCCGTGGCTTTTGGCTGGAATTACCCCTGCTGTGTGTGAATTTTTATTGCCTCTATCTTTACTCTGTGTTTACTCAGCAGATATCCAGACTTACCTTTGTACAGATTAGCTTTATTCTTCAGGGTACCACTGTTCCCTGCTGATTTTCTGTGTAAAATTACAGAGAACTTGTTCCCATTTTCAGCCTTTGTTTCTCTGTGGGAACCCTTAAGTAAGGTGCATTGATACAGACTTTTTTTTTTTTTACTTTGTCTGAAAATCACTGTAAATCAGTTCTTCCTTTTATATATCGGTATTCAGGAGGCAGAGCAAACAAGCTGTCAAGTTAGTGTGTCAAAAGATGGGCTTTTAGCAGTGACTGACATTGAATTAGGCTGAAACCGAGGAGCTGGGATTCTCTGGAGCCAAAAACACATGTTGGCTTGAAGTGGAGGGCAAGGATGGTAGCTGGCATGGGAAGCTGGTCTGGTCTGAAAGGTGAAGAGCTAGCAAGACAAAGCTTGAACGTTGTTTATAGTACAGTTAGTAACTGAAGTTACTGAGTTCTGTTAACAGTATTTCTATACTGGTATATATTTACTGATTTTTAACAACATTACAAATAAGACTACCTTGTGTCTGTATTTAAATACTCATTTTCAGGCTGATGGAATTTACTAAAATTGTAAAGTTAGTATGGTATTTATTGGCCTGCCATGAGTGGATGCATCAGATATTTGGATTTTGTCTTTTTCCTCTACTTCCAGTGTTTAAAATAAAATATCTGCAGTAACATTGGATTGCTTTGTGAAGCGCAAAAGTAATCTGTTGTAATCTGATATAGTAAGTGGGAGATAGCTTTAAAAAGTTTAAAGGCTTCTCAAATCAGTAAAGCCTTCTAATGTATTGGAGATTCAGCAATGAGTTTGCACTACTGTGAATTTCCACCTCTGTGTCATGACCATGTATGACTTCATACGGAATTATTTAAATAAGTGAACTTTCTTTTTAAATGCTTGTTGCGTTAATCAGACAAATCTGTGTCTAGGATGTTCTTTAATTTTGAAAATGCCTTTCCATTTATTAGCGTTCATTTTCTTCAACTTCTTAATGTGCACCTAGACCCTGTCCCTTCAAATCTCTGCCTGAGTTTATGTGAAATTCCTGAAGCAAATCACAAACTATTTCCATTGTAGTATTTTAGTGAAATTTTCTTCACACATTTAATCTTAAATATTCTGAGGAGAAACAGACATAATTGAAATAGATGGATTGAGATGATGAAATAAAATATCATTCATTCGTATCTTTTTTCAAGGTAGCAGTGATGGTTCTGAACTCAGTGAAGAGACTTCATGGCCAGCGTTTGAAAGGTAAGAAAAACTGCCGCTCAGAACCTGCATTTCTCTATTCAGACATTGCTACTTACAACCTCTCACTCAGTCCTGAAAATGATGATTTATTTTAGTGATCTAGAGATCTTCCCTATGTAAGAATATTAATAAACTGTAGTAAGTTCACTGGATCTGTTAAAACAGCAGAGAATTACCTTCTGCTTACTAGTAGTTAATAGGGCTTTTGTCTGATTAGGTGCTTACTCATTGCACACATTCTTCTAAATACCCCAACTGCTGTGCCATTAAAGCCCAAATGATTTTTCTGGTTTTATATATTTGTATATCCTGTGTATGCTGTTCATGTGACCTGTCTGTTTTTCATTTTCACTTTCCCTGAGATATTTTATGCATTCTTGGTCCCTTTGTTCTTATCATTGACATTTTCACCTGTTTTGTCCCTCTCATCTGCTCTTCACTTCATTTTTACTTGCCCTTGTGTTACGTGGGAAAACACAAAAATGCCCCTTGCCAGAATTAACATCTTGCTCCTCATCCAATACCTGCAAATGCTCAGGTGACATTGACCACTTCAGTCCTTTCCCATGTTGTATTTGAGAATGTGGAAAAAGACTTAACAGCTGTAGTTTAACATAGTAAAAGGTGGAAATTTCATCTTCCCACAGCTGAGTAAGATGGACAGTACAGTGCGTAGCTTGCTTCTATAACTCAATTTCAGGTAATATATCAGCTTCAGAGTTGCCATGGATGACTTTTTCCACCATGCTTTGAAGACATGTTTTGTAGAAAGTTTTGTCAAAGAGCTGTCTTATTGTACTTGGGAACTGTTACCACAAACCTTATATTCTGCTTGAATTCATTGAAGCAGTTGAAGTTCTGTGTTACTTTTTGGAAGAAATCTTTGAAAAGCTCTCTGTGCCAAAGGTGAACTCTTTGATATGTCATGCTATAAATATGATGACATACATGAGGAAATGCCCTTTTGATTCCATTACATAAGTAATAAGAACATTCCACATGAGGACAGAAAAAAAATTGGGTCAGAAAGAAAACCTCTAGCTTGTATGTGCTTTGTGATGCAACGTGCAACATTCAAAAGGTTTTCTTGCTTTTCCTTCCCTGGTGCCTTATGGAATTAATCAAGTTCAGATTATTTCTCAAAGCGAAAAAGTTATATGGAAAAGCCTTAGACAAAATGGTGAACTGAGTGCTTTTACCCTGAGTAGCAAAAGAAACTTGCAGCCCAGAAAGCCAACCGTATCCTGGGCTGCATCAAAAGAAGTGTGGCCAGCAGGTCAAGGGAGGTGATTCTGCCCCTCTGCTCTGCTCTGGTGAGACCCCACCTGGAGTGCTGCGTCCAGCTCTGGAGCCCTCAGCACAAGAAGGACATGGACCTGTTGAAGCGGGTCCAGAGAAGGGCCACAAAAATGATCCGAGGGCTGGAAGCACCTCTCCTATGAGGCCAGGCTGAGGGAGTTGGGGTTGTTCAGCCTGGAGAAGAGAAGGCTGCGGGGAGACCTTATTGCGGCCTTTCAGTACTTAAAGGGGGCCTATAATAAGGATGGGGGCAATCATTTTAGCAAGACCTGTTGTGACAGGACAAGGGGTAATGGTTTTAAACTAAAGAATAGATTTAGACTAGACATAAGAATGAAATTTTTTACAATGAGGGTGGTGAAGCACAGGAACAGGTTGCCCAGAGAGGTAGTGGAGGCCCCATCCCTGGCAACATTCAAGGTCAGGTTGGATGGGGCTCTGAGCAACCTGCTCTAGTTAAAACTGTCCCTGCTCCCTGCCAGAGGGGTTGGGCTAGGTGATCTCTAAAGGTCCCTTCCAACCCAAAGCATTCTGTCATTCTATGACACTGAAAAATTTTAGTAAGCCTTAGGCTTAAACTCGTGGTAACACTCTCCAGAATTGTTGTGTGGACTTCTGAGACAAAGAGGTTTTTCATCCCTGTCCTAATGAGAACTGGTTGGCTCAGATTCCCCCCAGTTAAAAGGTTTGTTCCATGTCAGTTACGTTAGAAGATTGCTCTTCATCCTCCAAATTCCACTTGCCTTCAGTATATACTTCTCTCCTGAGAGAGCTGTTTGAGAACTCTGTTTGAAGTTGCATGTCTTTGAGGGCAAGTTCTCTTGCCTGCTTCCAGAGAGAGGGATTGGGTTCCTTACAGACACTCAAAACATTATGTGTGAAATTCCTAGAGATACACAGCAACCTTGTGTCTGTTTCTTGGTTTATAAGATGACCAAACATGATTTGGAATTTAATAGGTAATACACTGACATGCAAATACCAAAATTTAAGATAACTAGAGAGGGTGTCTCTCTAGTTTTGATCTGTACAGTGGGTTTCCATTCTTATAAAAGAGTCTTTAAGTGAGGGAGAAACATTAGTTGCCTGGAATTAACAGCTACTGGCAAAATTGGGATACATCCAGTGTTATTAATGACTACTTCCTATGCAGTGCATGTGAGAATTCAATATTTCCCAGTGATTTAGGAGCAGGATCTTTGGGTAGGAGGGCTTAAATCTGCATCATATGCCTAACAGGAAGAAATGAGATACTCCACACACAGATTCCCCAGGTAACAAAAGGAATTGTAACAAATATTCTTGGTTTTCCTGGCCCTCCTGTTGTTTGTAACGGGGGAATGCAGAAGGGATAAGAACTAGAGTCACTGATTGTTTTAAAATGCAGCAGAAACTTAGTTTGAAACTTGAGAAAGAGCTTTCAGCATTGGGGTGTCCCTTCAGGCTAATCAAAATTACTTGAAGAACTTTAATTCCAAGTCCTGACAGTTATATCATGTAAAGGGCAGTATACTAAGTGGCACTTCAGTCTCATTGGTTGTCATCCTGAGTGTCTCTGAATAGATTTCCCTGAAATAGCTCAAATCCAAGAGCGATAGCCTCCTTGTTATGCAAAAAAACCAAGCTTAAGAGTAAGAAGAAAACATATTTCATTTGCACGCAAAATATATGTACACACAAATATACAGCTCGTATTATGGTTTTCTTCGTCTTAATTATTGTTTTATTTGTCTATAACTTGAATGTATTTTAAAAAAAAATCAGAAATTTGAAGATACTGGTTGTGTTGAAAAACAAATGATGGCAACTTCTGGGATAGATTAGTAGACAGTTATTCATTAGTAAGTTTTTGATAATTCTTCTTGCAGCAAAGGCAATAGTTTGAGCTGGTTTAAAAAAAACAAAACAACAAAACCAAACAAAACCCACCCATTTTTCTTGTTTAATGCTGCTGACTTTTACTGTATCCCTTCTTTAAGCCTGTTTTGTTTGCCTGCTGTATGCTATTCTGAGTTCAGATCAAAACATGACAATGCTACTTGTTTAGGTTTCCCATTCTGAGAAATACTGCCCTGTCCGTATATAAGCAGCTTTCTAGCTAGTGCAAAGCCCCTCTCACAGGTGACAGATTGTTAGATTTATATTACGTAGGAGGTTTTGCCTGTAAAATTCTCATAGGCTTGTACTTAACTGCCTGCTTCTGCAGAATTAGAGCAGATTTTCAATCTTTCAGCATAATACAAGCAACTAGAAAAATCGATAAAAAATAGGATGTGGAAGACTAAGTGCCTATGCTTCTATTGACTTTTTAAATGGAATTCAGTTGACTAAGGGATTCAATCCAGACAAACAAGGTTCAATGAAGCAAAGTAGTATTCAAGAGGCAGGTCTAGAACACAAGTCCTGGTGAGGGATAACAGTATAGATCAGGTTAAGGACTCTGAAACGTGAAGCTTATAGGTAACATTTAAAGCTTATATGAACTGGAGAATTGAAATATTGCTTAGCTTATTTCAAGGTTACTTAATACAACAGTATTTTAAACAGTGTCAGGCATATTTTGATAGTGCTTTTGATTCCTTTCAGCCCAACAGCTTGTGTGTGTGCATACTCATAGAAATTGAAACCATTTTTTTGTAGTAGCATCTAAAGTCAGAATTTAAAGACAAGTTTTATTAATATGGTTCCTTTACGTTGATTTAATCTCGAAGAACTTAATGCAGAATTTGCTCTCAAAATGTATTATACCAATGTGCCAATAAAACACTCCATTATGAGTTCTGACAAAGAGAACATCTGATGAAATAAAAAACCATGGTATCTACCCCTGCATGCATTTTTTCTAAATAAAATGATCCTCTGTTTCTTATGTAGAAGAAGTGGCTTTGTGATACGCACACAAAAAAAATACTGTGCTGTTTTAGCAGTTGTGCTGTTTGTGTGAATAAAAGTATATGTAATACGTACAATTTATAATGGAATCCAACAGGAACAGGTTGTACCATTCTCTCGGTCCGGGGACAAGAGTGTCACGAAATGGCTATCGAGGCCACATGAAGGCCAGCAGGTACAATCCCCACTGCACACAGAGGTGTCAAACTTTCCCTCTGGTGTTGGTGATTTGGTTTGGTTTAATAATTAAGGGGGTGTTTTCTGATGTTGCCTTTCTAACTTACATGTCAAAATAAAGGTGGAGACCTTTTTCTTCAGGCTTAAAGCTTTTCTCTTCAATGACTTAATCTATATTACCATAAGGGCTTCTGTTCATTCTGGTCTGCAAATCCAAATTCTGAACCATTTGGATCTTTTTATATAAAGGCTTTAAAGATGTTTTACTAGAGGTAGCTTTTTAACTGCCTGCCACTGTGTAGCAGTGTTAGTAGTTCTCATGTGGACAGTAAAGCTGCTTCTTGTGCTAATGGATGGCATTCAAGATGTTTTCTTTGCTGGCAGTTCTGTATTGAATTTCTTTTCCCTCTCTTCCCTGAAATCAGAGATATGGCTAAAATGAGTAATGCATTAAAATTGGCCCCAATTTATTATATATAGTATTATTTGCAAGCTGACAGAGTAATATAACTGATTATTCTGATTAATTAAAATACAAATTCTGTCTCCAGCTGTGTGGCACTGTAGTTGGGAAAGAGATGGCCATTAACTGTGAAATGTTTTTCATGTTAAGGAGCAAGCATTGTCTCACTGAATTAAACTCATGTTCACATCTATCAATGTCCAAAACTGTCTCCATATCATCATCCTCAGTAGGTGCTGCAATGAAAATGTTTGCTAGATTTCCAGTTTACTTTGAACTTTCATAAATGTTAGGATGGATGAAACAGCAAATCCTGGCTTCAAAATGAGTTTCAGGTGCTGTTCAATTTCTTGGCTTTTCTAGAAAACTGATGGGTTCAGCAATTTAGTTATGCTCTGATTGACATTTACTGAAATGATTCCTGTTGTAATTTTTTTCTGATTGAAAAGCCAGTTTTGTAAGCCAGTCAGCCTCATAATTTTAATAAAGCTAAGTTTTCTTTTCAAAGTGCTGTACCTGGCATTTGTTTTGGCCCATTGCTTTTAGATCCTGCATAGGGTGGATGATTAGTAGAGCACCAGATGCATTAAAAGACCTTGAAGCTGTGGTTTGGGTTTCTACTCTTTATTACTGCTACTGCCCACTCTTCTTGCTTTCAGATATTTTAAAGATTGTGCATGTTTGAGCTGTGCTTCGTTTTTGATGTGCTAATGATTCCAGTGTTGCTAACAAAAAAATACTCAATCTTTCTTGCAAGGGCTGAAGGAGAGGTTTTAACACGTACAACAACTGTATGAATGTACTTCAAACATTTGCTCTTTAAAATTAATTGTTCTTGTACTTAAGTTGCATCTTGAGTTTTAATTTTTTAGTTAAGGATTACCTGCTTGGCTAATTAATTTTTCTGATCACTTTTGCTCGTGAGTGTAAATTCCACAACAGCAATTCCTTGTAGCAGCCAAAGTCTTTTTCTACAATGAAGTCCAATAAAAAAAAGTTGGCATTTCTAAATTACAATACAGATGTTTGCATTAGTTTGTGGTAATGATTGGAAAACTACTTCAGGAAAAATAGTTTTTTCACACAAATCTTCACATGCTCCTTTCAGCTCCCTAGAATCTGAAGATTTGGCTGTTCATTTGTATCCAGGAGCAGTTACTATTCAAGGTGTTCTCAGGAGGAAGACTTTGTTGAAAGAAGGCAAAAAACCAACAGTAAGATTTTTAATTCATTTTCTCACCTTCTTTCTTTGCCCAGTTATAAATACAATAAAACGGCCATTGTGCAACTGATTCAAGTGTCTGAGATCTCCTCTGCCTTGCTGATTAAGGTTTAGGGTCACTGCATTCTTCTGTTTGGATTTATTCAGTTTATAAGGCTATACCCATGATCTAGGGAGTAGAAGAGAAGCATCAGGCTACATAAAATTTCTTACAATTACTGATAACTTTAAAAGAGAGAAGCATGTTTTGTCTTCCTGAATGGTAGGTGGATCCTAACAATTTATCAATAGATAATAAACCTTAGCATTTGCATTGCAAGTGCTTGATTATGAATTATAAATCAAAATACATATTCATGGCAATGGGAAATACCTTATGGCAGTACATAAAATGGAAAAGACAAGACACAAATGTACTCTAACTCAGTGAAGTGTTCAATAAGGGTTGCAGGAAGTATAGAGTAAGATGCACAAAATTTTTCTCGGATTAGTGAGGAAAGGCACATGTTCGTTCTGCTTTCTAGATTTTTAATGCATTCATAGGCCTACATGAATAACTAGAAACAGCGGCTTTGGAAACATGACTGATGGTATGGCTGGGCAGTTAGTGCTGTCATGTTCTTGCAGGATGGTGCCTGCTATTTTACAGCTCAATATTATGAAACATTTCACTTACCCATTGCACTTTTGGGTTTTTTTCCCTTTTCTCTCCAGGTAGCATCTTGGACAAAATACTGGGTAGCATTGTGTGGAACCCAACTCTTTTACTATGCTGCAAAATCTCTGAAGGCTACAGAAAGAAAACATGTATGTAAAACAGGTATATTCTGGTATCATCTGCCAAAATTAAAGTTTGATTTCCTGATGTAAACACTGAGAGAAGTTCAGGACTTGCATGATTTCTAGTCAGCACTATCCTGTCTTCCAGTCAGTCACCTCATATGGATATGCCCTAGTGGAAGTAGCATGCACGTTTATATGCTACATCAAGAACATCTGCTTTGCATATACCATGGGTCTCTTTGAATTTGTTGGTCTATGAGGAAGGGAACTATGTCATTGGATCTGTCTGCTTTCCTAAGATAGAAGTGATATGTTTTAATGATCTCCGAGTCTTGCAACAGTTTGTTGCTACTTGAAATCCAAACAAGCATTGATGTGGAAAGACTGAGAAGTCTGTACTGGTTTCATATATGTGGTAAAATTAGATTACTCTCTTTTTCTGTTTAATCCTGTAATCCGTTAACTATAATGGAGTACAAAACACTTCATGTGTTAAGCAGAGAGCTAGCATATCATATGATGCTGGCTTTCCTTCTGTTCACTGCAACTTTATTTGAAAGAAGCTAAAAATACTTTGCTTATGTGAGGAAGTAGTAAAAGGATTTTCTGTAGATGTTCCAAGGATGCTATGATGTGCATAGTTCCTGTTTCACTGGTTAATTATAATGGAAGAGGATGCCACCAGAGATTCGGTTAAGAAACTGGGTAAAATTTGAGGTACTTGGATCTTTTTCCGAGTTCATTCACACTCGGAACCATTACTTATAGTTGCCTTGGCCAGTGTTTCAGGCTTTGTGCTCCTGTTACTGATGTGATGCCTTTAGGCTTTATGCCAAAATTGCATTTTTTTTTTTTTTCTTTTAAGAATAGACTGTGTATTTGTAAGTCTCTGTCCACTGTCTGTCGAAGTACTGAATGATGGAACACTTTACCATACTTGTACCTATTCAATCAAGCTCTTCCACTATTGTATATAAATATTTTAAAATAATTTAAATAACATATGGCATTAGAGAACTTGGAAAAATTGCATAAGTGGTAATTTTATTGTTTGGAAATTAAGTCTTTTGAATTTTTATGTGGTCTATTTGCTTATACGTTTCCTTTAGAATAACAGTTTTAATCATTTAAATGGCCTTGCCCTTTCCTTAGGAAAAGTATATGAAGTAAAAAGGTAACAAATGTGAACATTCAGGTCTGGTATCTGATCCTCTTGAGTTTCTGTTACTGCAAAAGCCTTTACAGAAGTAAAGTCTTGAAATGCAGTCATACCCATTTAGAATGCTCTTTCAAAAATTATTTTCTGAACCTATTGAATTGACTTTTAATATTCCCCAAGGCACTGATGTGTTGTGATACCTACAACAACTAAACTACTGGTGAACAGAGACTAGTGCCTAAGAAACTAAAATCTGTCTTGCATCCTTATGTTCTTGTGTTTATTTGTCCAAGGATGTGTCAGCAGACCAATAACAAAGGTTGCAGATAGAGGCTAGGAGACATTCAAGTCCATAATGCTGGCAGGATTACCCATCAGAAGCCTGCCAGCATTATGGCTTGTGAATACTGAGTGGAGCTTGAGCAATGCAGTTCCCAGGAAAGGGAGATGGAGGAGCGGTAGTAAAAAGCTAGAGCAGATTTATTTTTTAACAGTTGGCTCTGTGGAATTGTACTGAACTATCCAGCACAACCTTGGATTTGTCTGTACACAGCTGATGTCTTGCTTTTAGCTTGTTTAGGGCAGCGAACATATTTCGTTCTGTTTGTGGATGCAAAGTGTGTTATGAAGCTCAGGTTTCTGATTTGGTTTCCCAGGTGCAGTCATGATTAAAAACAATGTAATACCTATTAGCTATGGTTTGGGTTGTCTTTTATTTAAACAAATAGTTCACAGTAAATGCACACATACTTCTGCTCCAAAGGTTATTGTAACACAGAGTATAATCTTTGTGCTGAAATTAAGGTGGAAGATAACCTGGTAACTGCTGTGGGAGGCTGAGATTAGGGGATTAGAGGGAGAGACTCCAGTTTATTAAACAGCCTAATAATAGGTGGTCAGTAACTTTGTTTAGCTAGTCTGCCTGTGTTGTACTTTTAGCCTATCTATTGATGGCTTAGATTTCCATCCATTTCACTATAGGGTTATTGTACAAAGCCTCGGCTTTTGTTCTGAAGTCTGTAAAGACGATTTGTCAAGTGTCATGCTTCAATTCACATTTGGTTGCATTTTCAGAAAGTTAATCAAGAGAGAATAAACTGTGGATGGTCAACCATCTGTAGATAGCTAGTGCTTGAGTATATGTTCACTGTACAAATACAGTCCAGTTATATTCCTAAGAGGTCCGTTCTGCAAAATAAAGAGATTTGACACTAGATCTAGGGTTTGTTTTGTTACTGTCGAGATTAAATGGATAAAAAGGATGATGCTCTCTGCTTTGAAGCAGATTTCTTTTTCAAAGATTGATACATTTGAGATTTACCTAGGTAAGATATTCCAAGCATCTTCTGGAGCCACGTAAACATGTCTTTTTAGCTGCCTTTCTCAAGGCCTCTGTGACATGGAAAGGAACGCTGGCAGTTAAAAAGTCAGTCTGCTATATAAAGTTTCCTGGCTAGAGCTCTCATGGTAAATGTGCCTTGATTACAGGCATGCTTTTGGCCGTTCTGCTGCTGCTGTTGCTTCAGGCAGCTGAGACTGAGGACTTGGAATGCACTGACACTGAAAGCTCTTCCAGGCTTATAATAGCCAACCTCTTTGGAAAATCAGTGCATAAAAATCCCAGTGTAATCCAGCAAAAAGGGCAAGAAGTCCGCTGCCTTTTAGACATGGGCAAGCCAGCCCTTCTTCTCATGCCTGTGGTCAAAGGAGTGCATCCAGTATCGTGTGTATTCTAGATGTGAATCTAGTTCAAAGGAAGAGGATGCTGTAGATATCTGGATATGACAAATTTTCTTGTGCTGCATCTACTAAGAAAGACTACTAAATATAATAAGCTTTGTATTTTAAGTAGCGGACAGGTTTCAGTTATTACTAGGGTAATGGAAAATTGTCTGTAATGAGCATGTGAACGTCAGAGCCCAGAGATCTGGTACAGGAGAATCCGAGAGGAACGTGTGTCAAATGCTTCAGGTTTTCTCATATGCTGAAATGGTACCCACAAACAAGCTTCTGTGATAAAACTGTAGCACTTGCACACCTTTAGAAAAGGACAATGGTAAAAATAGCCAACTTAAAATTAGTCTTCAAGGAAGCATTCACCTGAAAAGTGTGAATATTCCCATGAAAAACTGTTCATAGTGATTGGGCTGGCAAAATCTTGCCAATTTCTGTGACAACATAGCATGCATGAGAGATTTTTCCATGTTTGTAGCTACTTGGAAAAGCAACGGAGACTTTTTGAGCCTTCATGCTCAAGCATGAACCCTTGTTCATTCCAAGCCTTCCATTGTGTGTTATATTCAGAATTAGACCCATTTATTGGCACTAGAAAACTTGGTAGGTGTTGCTCAGGCACTTTCACTGAAATACCCTGATAAAGAATGCCGTCATTCTAGGAAGTATGTTCAGCCACCAGGAAAATTATTTGAATATTAGAAAGGTGTAAAATCTCAACAGGAGATGAGAAGGGAGGAGATTTGTAGGTGCCAAAAGGTTGGAGTGAAAAGTCTGTTCACAGATTACTTCAGAGTTTTTGATTCAAAGATTTATGTACAAATGCCTTTGAGCTCAGAACAACAACAAAAAAATGTAGTTATGTGAAGCCTAGCTGTGTAGTTTTCTATGTGTATAATAAGAGTGTCATTCCAGTGGCCTGTATAAAAAAAGCAAAGAGGAACCAGCAACATTAAATTACAATGAAGCCTTCATTCCCTTCATGTTAACAAAGCAGACTTGCTGTTAGCAAGGCTCTATGCATCAGTGGAGAATGAACTGCCCTGGGGGACTATGTAAACATGGAATACAAATCCAGCCATGCACAGGGATGGAAAACTGACATGTGTTTCAAGTGATGACAGATTAACGCTGGTAGGAAACACTTTCCTTGTGTGGAGCTTTTTACTTTTTGGAGAAGTACCGTGATTAACTAATTGTTTTGAATAAAATGAAAAAACAAGAAGCTGTAGCAGTTTTGCATGGTAATTTCACATATTGTATAACTACTGTTATGATATATAACTAAGATAGGAAAGTGCAAAGGTGCTATTTTCATTAAACTCTAGAAATGAGTGCAGTTCAAGAGGTACGTTGTTGATCTGTAACCTATTAAAACCACTTTGTGACTCAATTTGACTTATTAAAAAATGAATTATTAATGCTTTTTGCTGTGTAGGACTACCTGAAAGTTTGCATTTTGCAGGTCCCTATTAAGTGTAAGTTGTGTCATCTTATTTTTCAAGGCAATGTCTTCAGTGGGTCCATAGCAAATCCTGAATATATTCTTACTTTTTTTTTTTCTAAGAACTCATGAGCTATGTACTTATTTTATTCCCTTTCCCTGTCTTTATTTCTTCTTTCAGATAAAATTCCTTAATGCTTTCCATTATTGACTGGAATCTTCAAAGAATTTTTAGTTTCTATTTGGAAAGAAGTTACGTTATCCAGCCCTCACTGTAATGAAATGTTGTATGATAGAGCTTTATAATTTACTACTTCTTCTAAAGAGGTATTACCAAATCTGTCCACCGCCCAAAGGCAGTAGAGTTACTTAATTTTAGTATATGTGGTTCTACAGATTTTATGAGGAATGGTCTTTTGCCACAGTTTTATCCATAGTAATTATCAAAAAAAGGGCATCCATTTTGCAGTTTGGCAGGCAGGTCTTTCGTAAGAACAGACATCATCACTTTTACACTTTTAAGCTATCTGTACAAGCATCCCTTCAAAGTTTCCAAGCTTTTAAATTTCCACTGATGTTACACAAATGTCAGCTGAACATGACTGGTAGGAATTTGCTATGGAATGGTTCCTGCAAGTGTAACTATAGTGACATAGAGGGCAGTACACAGACGATGCATTCAAAGGTTTGTAAGATAGAGACTGGACTCTTAAATTATTTTGAACTTGGTTAAAATACTTTTTGTTTCAAATATTGGTCTAATATTTGTTCATTTCAAGTTCTAATGTATTTTAAACCTGGGTCTAAAGTGTAGCCTGTTGGACAAGTCCCAGACAGATAAACTTATCTGGACATTCAAGGTCTCCAGTTAATCTATGACATAGATTAGAATAATTTACATTAGATTTGCACTGGAATTTTATTTATAAAGTAATTATATTCCCATATAGAGAATATTCTTATAAACTGCTTTGCTTGTGATACCCTCAAACTTATTAGCAGTAATGGTTCCTTTTGCTGAACCAGAGTTCTAGATTTGTGATGGTATAGCAATACTTCTAAAATGAAACAGAAGACATTTGATGCTTAATGTTGTAAATCTATGTGGCATTAGTATGAAGAATAAAAGTATTCTAGAACTATAAATTCATTTCAATGACTTAAAATATCCCCAAGATAGCTTTAGCTTTATCATTTCTAATAATGTAATTAAAGAGAAGTAAAAATTACTGTGCTAATAAGGAGGTTAAAATAGGGATTTCACAAGACAGGAAGAAGACACATCTGATAAGGAGCAGCATATAGCAAAGTTGGACCTCCTGGGCAGAGAAGTGAGGTAAAGCAGTGCAGAGGGTAGGAGTGCTAGGATTGATGAAAAAAGTCTGTGTCAGACCTGTGAATGTGGGAAGAGGAGATCTGGCAACTGAAGACTTGAGAGAAACTGAATGAATTAAGTATTGGGGAGTGAATGGGACTGCCTGAGCAAGTAATGAGAGGTGATTTGTGAGGGTCTACTAATAGATAAGCAAGGAGACCAGGAAGAAGGAAGCTTGCAGTTTGGAAATGAGTTGGATTTAGTGGGTGAGTAGCCTGAAAGTAGAGAAAAAGCCTGAGAAGTAGAAAGTAATATTGACCAGGTGAATGAAAAGGAGAACGGGTCCAAAATGCTGTCAGGAGAGGGGCTAGTGTAGCTGAGACAGGTATTGTGCTTAGAAGAGGCCTAAGTTACATGTTAATGTGTGAGTAACACCCTGAATGGGAAAATCCCATCATTTTGTACATCTTGTCGATAAAGGAGCACGTTACATTCTTCTATTGAATCTATGCCCTCGTTTGATCCATTTCATTCATCAGGTCATAATATTTAATTACACAGCTGTGTTATCTTGTCCACAGGACTCACATTATGTGCATTTACAGACTATTATAATAATTAATGCACGTTAACTTTGAATAATTACAGCACAGAAAAGTTTAATTCTTCTGTTCGTTAACAGTGGAGGGATTAGCTTTGCATTTGCTAATGCACTTTTGAACTATAGTGTACGTACCCATGCGCAATAATGTGGTGAGGAATGCTATTGTCTTCATACAGTGTAGTTTAGATGCCTGTTGACACATTTTGGGGGATTGTGATATTCATTTTAATTTATTTTTAATATCATTCATTGTGGTAAGTTCTGTTTTCACTAATTCCATATAAATTTCGTAGACTTTCTTAATTTTGTGAAGTGCTATGCTTCCTTTGAAGTTATTCTGTGTCTTTAACAGTGTTACTGAGAAGAACTGGCCCTGTGAATACTTGCTCTGTGCAGCGCAGTCAGTCTGGCTGAAGCTTCTTGTTTCACACTAGTTTACATCTGTGCTTGTATTTTCAGTTCAAATCCACACCGAGTAAGAATGTGTCAGTGGTGGGCTGGATGGTGATGATGGCAGATGACCCTGAGCATCCAGATCTCTTCTTATTGACTGATTCTGAGAAGGGTAGGCAATGCTAGCACCCAGAGTGCAGTGATTCCCAGAATAAACATTTGCTTTGCTGAGGTATTCATAAGCAACTAAATGAAATTGGAAGGATGTTACTTTTCACTTATTCAACTGCTCTCCAATATGCCATGTTTGCCCTTAGAATGCTATGGGAACAACTGTCCATGGAGAATCCTTGGAGTCTTCATTAAGTTCTAAGAACTCTCCAAACTCTAACTCCAGTTGTGATTTTTATTGGAAGTATTCATCTGCATTCTTTCAAACTATATTTAGACCACTCTAACAATTAAAAAAAAAGTTCAATATTCAGCTAACACTAGGTGCTTGACCAGTTCCCTCTCCTCTCCAAATGAAAAACAAACCCCAAACCAAACTATCTGTTCAACTGTAGCGCTGTTACCAGGAAAAAAAACCCTAAGAGATCTTGACTGTTTTGCAGAGAAGCCTTGATTTCTGTTACTCTGACGTAGCGCCCTGGTTTCAGTTGTGAAACTGTGAAGAAATTGTTACTTTTCCATAGCACTTCAAACTGCACAGAAGGAGCATCATTAGAAGTTCTGATAAAGGAGCCTAATGTTCTTTATTGCTTTATCTCCTTCAAGTCTTAGTACATTTTATTTTCCGAGCACCTATTCTAGCACCACTGATATGTGGTATAAATTATGAATGCTTGTCAGCTTAAACTCAGCAACAGCAACCTGAAATGATTTTGTAATACTTGGTCTTTCTGAACACAAGCAAGCAGTGTATAACACCAGGCACTGAAAGTATTAGTCTGAAATGTATCAATATGTTTAGGAACAGTTTTCAAATGTAGCTTTCTAGATTGCATTTCAGTGCTATCTTGCACTTCATTAAAAATTATGAAATGATATATAAACAAATTGCAATAATGGCAATGAAGAAAAGCATTTTTGTTGTACAGTTCTGAGAAATGTTTTGTTCTTTCCTAGTTGACACTGGTGTTATTTGAAATCTAGAATGTTGGAAAGGAAGTCAGGCGAGCTGAAACTTTTCTCGCACTAGGTCAAACAATTAAGTTGTACCTATGCTGGATAAAATGTAAAATTATATGAACCTTCTGCTATTAAATCTTTCCATAATGTTTTAATTTAGAGTTATTTGAATATGGGTAGGATTTAAGTATATAGTATTGTTTGTGTTTATCAGCTTTTCCTCTACCTTTCTCACTTAGGAAATTCATATAAATTTCAAGCTGGAAACAGAATGAATGCAATGCTCTGGTTTAAACACCTGAGTGCTGCCTGCCAAAGCAACAGACAACAGGTGAGAGCAAGATGTTGAAAAGGAATATGAGCTGTTAAGAGCTCAAAACTGACAGATCTTCAAGATGACCAAGCTGTAACTGATAGCTTTGTATGAAGAGCAATCTACTCTGAGCAGCCTGTACATTGATTTCACATGCTTATTGATTTGCCTTAGATTTCCTGTTTGTCCCTTTGCAAACAAGTCCTCAGAGCTTCTGTGGTAATGAAGAAAGGTTTGGGACTATCTGGAGGCTAATTTAAAGCAATTGGGGAAATGGAAGGAATGCTTTAAAATATCTGTCCAAGTGCCCATTTTAAAAAGGCTCTTTTACAGTTATATAAAAAGCTGTAAACCGTAGCATTCAATATAAATTCCAGATAACTCTCCTGAAGTACTATTTTGTCAGGTCTCATGCATGCACGTTTTCTGTTGTTTGTATGTATTTCTAAAATGTGTTTAAAAAAAAAAAATTTAGTCCCGGATACATCTGGCAGACTTTGAAAGCAAAAGTATAATTTGCCATGAATCAAAAAGGAAGATAAGACTACTCCAACCCCTATTAAATTCTGTTCCCATATAAATTCTTACTGACCTTTTTCATCAGCAAATCATTTTTAAGTTACCACTTTGTCTTCCTGTAAATCTCCCATTTCCTTTGCACATTTGTTTATGGAGTTCCCAGAGCAAAAGCACTACTAAATTTCAAGGGAAAACAAAAGGACCTTTCCAGATCCTTCTGTGCTTTCTTGTTCAGCTCTGCTTCTGAGAGAAATCTAAGGAGTAAGGAGGGTTGCAGAAGCTCCCTTGAAAGCATTTAAGACAGTGCAAAGGAGAGGAAATTGGGTTCCTGGCTGGAGAATGTGGGAATAGTAGCAAATAGTGGCAAAGAGTTTGCAAGAAAATGGTGACTTCCAGGCAAGCCTGAAAACTGCCCTCTGAGGACAGCTTTTGTTCAATAAGGCTTAACAATACTATTTAATGCAAACTTGTTTAAAGCATTCAGCCCCTAGCTTGTGCAAAAGCAGGCTTAAGGATCTTGGCGGGGCCTCCTGTGGAAAATATGACAGCAAAGTGAAGATAAGTGTAGGAGATTTTAAAAGGAAAAAAAAAAAACAGGAGGGGAGGATTAATGAAAAAAACCTACCACTAAAAGGCCAAAACCCCTACTACCATGATTTGTTACGTGTTTTCTGGCATGTACTATATGGGCTCTTGCAGCATAGTTGCTCCCATAGAAGCAGCAGCGCTTCACACAAACGTTAGGTTACAAAGGTTGGTAAAAGAGTTAAAAAAAAGAAAAAAATCCTGTAACATTTTTCTCGTGATCATGATTTGACCCCTAAGCAGTGCTTTCCCTAGAGAAATGCCTTATGGTACTATTTAAAATGGAAGATCTTGTTTATTTGTTAACAGTGTGACTGCCAAAGAAAGACTGCATGTTTAAACGTGCTTTTGATAGAGTATAGACACCTACCCAGTTGACTAATATTGGGAACTATTTTAATAGATGTTATTTTTAATTTTAATGGTGGAACTTTAGTCCAGTTGATCATTCTTGCTTCCTCGGGTAAATGGTAAATGTAAAGCAAGAAATGCTTGCTTCAAATCTGACCAAACTGGTTATTTATTGACAGTCATCAGGAATGTGGTGGCTCTTTAATAACCTGAGTAAACAAGAGATGTTGCTGTCAGGCAAATTCCTGATGGGGAGAAAACGAGGATATAAACTAATGTAATGCAAACTAGCTTTAATCTTCATGAAAGGGAGTGATGTCTGCAGCAGGCATTCAGGTTTCCTATGGGAAAAGCCCAGGCAAGTGTTTATGCCTCTGTTTTTTTTAAAAATTAGTCTTAAAAATACTAGAGGGCCTATGTCAATCACTGACCTGTGTGCCAAGAATTCTCTAGCTGGGACTCGAGTGAGAAGGTTCTGCTTGTGTAGTTTGGTGCTGAGATTTATCATGTTAAAGTTGTTTTGCTGACAACTTAAATCTTAAATGTCATCAAAATTAATAAGATCTATGGCCATTTAATAAAATTATAAACCATGCAGCAGTTTAATATTTTGGTTATACCTGGGTTTCCTACAGCTCTAAGTACATTTGTACTGCTGAATGATAGTTGCATTCCTCCTCCCCCTTTTTTGAGACAGAATGAGCGTTAACAGTGTGCATTTAAACAGGTGGCTAGTCTGTGAAACAGTGGAGTGTAAGTGGCTACTACCCAAAGTAAAATCTGCTCTCATTTATATTTTTGTTTTCAGGTTCCTGCCAACTTGATGACCTTTGAATAATAGGCCAATTCAAAACAAAAAAAAGAACAATTTGAACCATCTCATAATCAAGAACGAGGTCCTGATGAAAAATGTGCCAGAACAGAGCCTGTCAACTCGATCTCTGAACTCTGGAGCCCTGAATAAAACCACTAATGTTTGGGGAGTAGAGTCCCCCAAATTAAAAATGGAGTTGCAACATGAATTGCCATGAACCATGCTTCGTTATATTCTCTGAACTGACCTGTGGAAACCACTGCCTTAAAGAGTGAAAGGAAAAACAACATGAAACACCAAATAGTGTGTGTGAAACTTCTGGCGGTGCTGTGCTTGAGTTAAATAGATTGTAGCTAGTTTGAGTTTCTTTTAACTTTATACTAATTTTGAAAATAACTCACCTTTTTAGGCATTCTTAAGAAAACAAGTAAACTGGTATTTAAGAGTTGTATCAAAAGCTATGAACCAGGCAAAAGAGGTACTACATGTTCTAGAGATGTTGTTTAGACTATACAAGGAGTTCTCAATGGGAGCTTGTCCCAGGCACGCTTAGCCTGAAGCAATGTTACTTCTCTCAGACCTACAAGTATAAGAAACGTTAACAACTGCAAGTTTAAAATAGCTGTGAGCTTGCAAACCTTAGTACTGTATTGCCAATGAGCGGCACAAAGGCTGAGCACTTAAATACCAAAATTTTTTTTGGTACGTTGTTACCTAATTCCTGGTTAAAAACGCAGTTCATGTGTTTTGGGTGGTCAGTGGGTGTGTCTGGAAGAGACAAAACTGAAAGCACTGTTGGGTCAGAACCGAGTGTTTTCCTCCCATTTGTTTCTACGCCTGTCACTCTCCTACACGCAAAGGTTGAATGACAAAAAAACAACACCTTGGTATAGCTCACTAAGACATTTTACTTCTCTGGGTATCTGTTAATTATCAGTTAGGGACCACTGTTAGTGTATGGTGTTTCATAAAATCACTTAAGATCTGCATTTTAAAAAGATAGAGGCACAATTTCAAGCTTTCATGTTCTCATTTGGCAATAATTGACTTTTAGTATCTGTCTTGGTCAAAATAGTTGACATTGTGTGGTACTGATAACACGGCCTAAAACAGACCTTATATACAGAAGCTCTTTTGATCTTCAGGCAAATAATTAATGTATTAGAAGGTAGGATAACCTAAGGAGAGAAAAGGTGTGGGACTATCAGAATTCTGTCCTTGACAGGAATAATTCTTGGTCACTGAAATTACTCACAGAGAAAAACATTATGGTTGTAAAAAGGGAGCTATGCTTCATATGTGTGTTTTATGCTTAAGACTGATTCTTGCTTTATTTGGGTTTCCTTGACGTCACCTAGGTATAGTTTCCTGGATGATTAGTCTTTCTTTAATCTTCAAAAATATGATCTTTGTAAAGCAAGGAAACATTGTCCAAAATATGACTCAGATATCAGAACTTTGAAGTCTGTGAAAAAGTAGTAAATGTTCCATTGACGTTGTGGTTTAGTGGCCGTAAATATGCTTGCAGATTCTACCATGAATACTCCTTTTTAAAAAGAAACAAGCTACCTACCGGTCTGTGGCAGAGTTCTCTGACTATCTAATAAAGGTTTCTACTAGTAGTTATTATTTTGAAAATGTACAGTTTGTTTATTGCATCTGAGTAGAAGCCTAAAAATTATCTTTTTTTTTTTTTCCCAGAGTCAAATTAATCTCTTAATGGAAATTATTAATTTCTGATTTCTGGGGGGCAAAAAAGAAGGATAAGCCAATCTCACATAAAAAAAAAACCCAAAACAAAACACAAAAACCCCAACCACTTGGTGATGTAAAGGGTAATAGGCTGGTTTATGTTTCCAAGAATTGTTCTTGTGAGTTGGCTCTTGGTAGAAAGAAAACAGTAGAAGCGTGCTTCTGTCAGAATTGCACCACAAGCACCGTGGGAATTTGTGTCCCTTTGCAATTTTTTTTTTTGTTGTTGTTGTTTTGATGGGGAATGAATAGTCTGTTCTGATCCTGAAGTCATGTATTTTGGGAAGGGGTTGCCTGTGCTCTGCAATTCACACATCTCCCAAGTTTACCCATGTTGGGTGTATAGTAAAGACAACATCTTCATAGCCAGCAGTGTTACTGTAGTAGACTTTGCACAACTTTTAGTTTTGGGTTTTTTTCATTTTAAAAATTACTTAATGTATGTTTCTTCTCAACAACTAAGTGTTTTTTAACAATGTATGTACTTTTTTAAGCGTTGTGGATTATCTGTGGATTTTGAATTTTTAAATAAGCTATTGTAGGTTCATTGCAGCATAACTGTATCTGTTCTTCTGTTAGTGAAAGAAAACATGCAACTGGGAGCCACAGCCTGACATCACACAGCTTTGCTACAGACAGAGCCAGGTCAGAAGGTGTCATTTATTCTTGGTTTTTTGTGTTTTCCCAGCTGTTTTGAGTTAGGTTTTTATGGTAGGAAGATGGTGAAGAAAACAGTTCACAAATCATTTAGTGAATTGTTGCTGTTACCAGCTTTCATTGTTCTTAGGCCTCCTACTCTTCCTTGTTATTCTGCCCTCAGATACGCTGTTTTTCGTGGGAGAAGTTGAATATTGTGGGAGGAGTTTCTTAAAATGTGTAGCCAGAATAAGTGGAGTGATTAATGACAACATGGAAAACATTATTGGCACTCGTTACAATGAGTAGTTCAGTACTTTCCTATTGTTTATCTCCTATTTAGCCATGTAGTCCTACAGGGCGATACAGAAATACTGAAATGTTACATAGTTTTAGATCAATGGTGCTCAGAAAGAGGTGGTGGTTTTGTTCCCTGAGGGAAAGCTGCCTCAGCTAAGCTTTGGAAAGACTCAGACAGGTCAAATACACTGTGAGGAAGTAGTAATGCTTTTTTTAAAAAGGGGGTTAAAAAAAATAAATAATTAAAACCAACGCTGAGAAAACAAGGACAGCAACGGTCTCATGGTATTCAGGTAAGACTGTCATCCAGACTACTTCAGATAGTTGGCAGTTTCTCTTTGATTTTTATTTTTAATGTTTTGCTCTAATTCTTTATCTTCTTAATAACTGCTGAAATACTTCAGCTAATATTTGTCACTTCTTGATGTTTTGATTTTTAAACTAAAGATGCCCCTTACAGTTCCCTCTTTTGGAGGCATATAAGCAAAAAGTATTCAGATTAGATCTTCATAGCAAGACTTCACATGTAAATGTTAATCGCTTGCTGACTGCTAACCACTTTATCTAAACTAACAGTCTTGGGAAAGATTGAACAACAGGGAATGTCTGGTTTATGAAATCGGTGCAGTGCATTAGAAAACATAACACTGCACTGGTTGTTGAATACTCACTGCTAACTTTTATCTTTCTAACTTAATCTGTACTACTTTTGGCTAGGTTTTTCAAACGTGACTTCTATTCCAGTGTTCTTAGAAAGCAAGTAAGGACATTTATTTCTGAAAAATTCTGATAATTTGAGTAAACATAGCTCATCCTAGACACGTATTTCATTTTGCAGACATTTCATGCCAGAGGAGTATTACTCAGGCTATTATGATTCTTTAAGTATTTAGGTGCAAGTTACAGGCATTAAAACTACAAATACTAAATGAATGCACATAAATATTTAATGAATGAGCTTTAGCACCCAGCTTTAAAACTGTGTTATTGTTAGTTCTTTTAAATTACTGTGAAAATCATATCCTACTTAAGATAACCTACTTAAGAAAGATATGAAAAGGAAAATACTGTAATGGCAGACATTATTTGTTGACTCTGCAGCTGGCATATTAGGCAGCACCCTAGTTACTCAGATGTTTTAGCCTCCTGCTTGAGGAATTGGTGTCTCTTTTGGGGAATCAGCTGATTACCTTTCCTCCTCAAAATGCAACTCCTGCGCACTTGAACTTTTACCAAGAAAAGCATTTATAGAAATATGCATATTTGAAAACATATTGGGAGCAAAAGAAAGCATTAAAAAAAACCACAGCAGGATTTTATTAGTTATCTTTTCCTCACTAGAAGTAAATTAATCTAATCTAATTTTTCTTGCAACATCAGTCTCCTCTGTTTGCATTTATACATTTTCAACAATAGTCCTCCTCTATTAGTATCAGGCATAACAAATGTTAAAAGGAAATGCTTTCCCTTCCAGCAGAATTAATTGCAGGTTTTGGTGCTGCGAAGGCACTCGAGGAGGTGAGGTCCCTTTTGATAAAGGGCAAATTGATCTTGTGGTTTTGGTTAAATGCAGCAAAACTTGTCCAAATCAAGATAAGATAAATCATGGGATGTTGTTTCTTCTGGCTTTGTCAGTGGCATTTTTCTTCGTTCTTTGTCCCTTTTTCTTTTTTTTTGGTATGCTAACTGACCAGCATTAGTAGTTCCAATCTTTTCCATGGCCGGCTGTAGTACACTGCCTGTTGCAAGCATCAAGGCACCAGGACTGGTACTAAATCACATCAGTTAATTGCTTATTTCCCTGCAAGGACAAGTTTTAAAAATTTTGTTATTATTTAAGTATTGCTCTTTTTCTTTATTTTTTCTCTAAAAGTGGCTTGTGCATAAGGTGATTTGGCTTGGGAAAGTTGTCATTAAAAGAATCTGTATGAGTGGACATGGAATTTGTTTGTGGGGGTTATCCTTTTTTGAGAACCATCATTCTAATTTGTAATGCATCAAGAGGGTAAGTGCTTGGATTTAAGGAGGACTTTTGTCAGTGCCTTATTATTAACTTGAAGACCAATTCCTTTATTTCAGTGCTGAGAGTACTACAATGGCAGACTTGCATACTGTGTCCTTGATGTACCAAGGGGTAACATTCCTTACAGTCCTTGCATTCCGGCAGAAGTTAGTTGTTTTGGTCAATGTAAAATAGCTTGTAGCTTGAATTGCTTTAGTTTGGTTTTTTTTTTTTTTTTTTCCCTGTATTTGAATAGACTCTCTTTAGGAAGAATGCAGAGGTATCTGGTAGCTTGGGCTTGTTCAGCTTTTATCAGAAGTAGCTCAGACTTCTTCAAAATCAATTTATTTTTATTTTGGTATGTCTCTAAATAAATTTAGTAGGGGGGGTGGAATTGAAAAGGGTAATCCACATCATGGTCTAGACCACATGAACTTAAGAGCTCACATTATTAGGAGCTTGCTTTTCTCTCCCATTTTGATTTAAACATTGAAGAGCATTCTTATGAGAAGATTTATTTCTTACAAGCTTTTTTGTTAACGTAAAATACATACTACAGGAGAAAACTGTTTGGGGAAGAGAAGGCTTGGATAAATCTTACTCTTTCTTAATATCCCATAAGCTCAGTTTTGTGCATTGTATTTCTCATGTCAACACTATGCAGGGAGTACTGTCCTTCACTGAAACAACTGCTAGAGATTGTTTTAGTAGCAAGACTTTATAAGCTTTGGAAGGGGAAATGAAAGAAAGAATGTGTTGTTCTTAAGCAATTAAATATTTGTTTTCCTGGAACACATCCTTATAAAAACATAGCCGTTTTACTATAGTGTTTATAAATTCAGATATTGGAAAGGGAAGGATGATTTGAAAATTAATCTTACGCTTTCGAAGAATCTTCAAAGACAATAGAAGGGTTAGGTCAAAGGAGAAAAGACAAATTACTTAGTTTAGCCATGGCTGTTGCAGAACAGAGCTGACAAGTTTTCTTGAAGTTATGTTGCTAAGAAAAAAGGTGTAATGAAATGCAAGTTCCTGCAGATTACAGCGTGGTTATGGCTGTTAGCCTGATCTTGCTCTTGAATGACTAGTGTCGTAAATATTCTGTTTCCTTTGTGTGTTTGATTAGCATATTATTTCTCTTTATTTGGGTAGGTTCTGGCCTTCACATGTGTTTCCTGAAGGCATTTCTTACCATTCCAAAGCTGTTCAGACATAAAACTGAAAAGCGGTGTATAAATTGATTAACTACATGTTGAAAGAAAGGGTTCTAGGGTGTCTTGTTTACATGCACTTCTAGCTCCTGTGGATATGGAGCATATCTACTCAAATACTGCTGTACTGAAGTGTGAAAAGCACCAGGAAATCATTCATGTATATGTTTTCTAATAATCCTGTAAGGACCAACCATCACTGGAAGGGGTATCAAGGTTGTCATGCAGTAAACACAAGCCACTTTTAATACTCCCTGCTGGCGAGAAGCGTTACAATGGTAGAGTGATTGCACTATGATCTCTTTGAGTGATGTGCAGTTTGGCTGTCCTCTAGTCTTTTTCTTCAACTTTTTTAATACTTTATTCTGTGTGTGCGTGTGAAAATTGTGTGTTTCCATAAGCTAGTTTAAATGAATTTAAGTACACGTTTCAAAAATCTTTCCTACTGAAATAAATGATTTAAAAGATGGCCTGTGTCTGAAGTTTTAATTTCTCATTAAAAAACTGCATTGATACTGCAGCCACGTTTTGCAACATGGAATTTGACTGTCTCTGAGTGATGCTGAGATCAGCTGGAATTTTAGTAGCTTTTTTCAGTGAACCTCTGAAATGTAGCATGTAAGTATACCATTGTCTGTTGGTACAAAAAAAGTCCAAAAACTAGCAGGAAAACACAGTTCTTTGAAGAGATTTATGTTTGGTTTCAGAGATCATTCTGTTAAATGATGTGG